TAGGGTGGGAGGAGGCGTGAAGAGCCCCAGCTGAGCAGACCTTCTGCAGATCAGGAATTCAGTGAGCGCTCCCGCGCCAGCAGCATTAGGGTGGGAGGAGGCGTGAAGAGCTCCAGCTGAGCAGACCTTCTGCAGATCAGGAACTCAGTGAGCGCTCCCGCGCCAGCAGCATTAGGGTGGGAGGAGGCGTGAAGAGCTCCAGCTGAGCAGACCTTCTGCAGATCAGGAATTCAGTGAGCGCTCCCGCGCCATCAGCATTAGGGTGGGAGGAGGCGTGAAGAGCCCCAGCTGAGCAGACCTTCTGCAGATCAGGAATTCAGTGAGCGCTCCCGCGCCAGCAGCATTAGGGTGGGAGGAGGCGTGAAGGGCTCCAGCTGAGCAGACCTTCTGCAGATCAGGAATTCAGTGAGCGCTCCCGCGCCATCAGCATTAGGGTGGGAGGAGGCGTGAAGGGCTCCAGCTGAGCAGACCTTCTGCAGATCAGGAATTCAGTGAGCGCTCCCGCGCCAGCAGCATTAGGGTGGGAGGAGGCGTGAAGAGCCCCAGCTGAGCAGACCTTCTGCAGATCAGGAATTCAGTGAGCGCTCCCGCGCCAGCAGCATTAGGGTGGGAGGAGGCGTGAAGGGCTCCAGCTGAGCAGACCTTCTGCAGATCAGGAATTCAGTGAGCGCTCCCGCGCCAGCAGCATTAGGGTGGGAGGAGGCGTGAAGAGCTCCAGCTGAGCAGACCTTCTGCAGATCAGGAATTCAGTGAGCGCTCCCGCGCCATCAGCAGTGCAGCTTCCAAGCACACCATACCTTGACCACCTGGTAGGGATCCTGCCTCCTTGAGTCCATTGGCACATCCTCCTGAGTGGCTGCCCTGCAGCCCTATGCAACCAACGGCTGAAGACACAGAGTCTCTGAGGACGGGCCAACCCGAAGTGTGGCAGAAGCCACCAGTCAGTGAGCATCACAGCTGTCACTGTAGCGGTGGCAGAGGACGTCCCAGGAACACGTCTGGGAAGACAGACTCTGGGGACAGAAGCGCAGGGTACCTTGTTGACCAGCACCAGGAATTATTGGTGGATGGAGTAGCTTGGCCGCTGAGAGGAATTGAGTGAGAAGAGCTGAGGGGGAATATCTGGCAAAAATAGATGAACTTGTTGATGAGAGATAATGGAAAAGCAATGAAAGTGGTGAAGAATGATGGGAGGAGACTCAGGGGCTCTTACTAACTCCTAGAGCGAGTGCAGACTCAATTCCTGACCTCTAGAGACTACCTTTCTACCTTCACACCCCTTTGGGACACGATGAGACAGAAGTACTTGTGCACACGCCTCCCTCTCCTGTCCTCAGTCCTGGCTTTGCAGGCATCACAGCAGGGTTGTCAAACTTCAGCATGCAAAATATTTATCTGGGGAGCTTACTTTGATGCAGACTCCCTGGGCCCCAACTCCAGCTTCTGCTTTGTAGGTGGCCTGGGAATCTGTATTTTTAAACTTTTCATTTTGTACTGGGTTGTAGCCAATTGACAATGTTGTGATGATTTCAGATGAACAGCAAAGGGACTCAACCATACATATGCAAGTATCCATTTTCACCCAGGGCTTCCCCAGTGGTTCAGATGGTAAAAAATCTGCCTGCAATGTGGGAGACCTGGGTTTGATCCCTGGCTGGGGAAGATCCCCTGGAGGAGGGAACAGCTACCCACTCCAGTACTCTTGCCTGGAGAATCCCATGGACAGAGGAGCCTGGCGGGCTACAGTCCATGGGGTTGCAAAGAGTTGGACACAACTGAGCAACCAAGCAGTAAACACACTGTCCCCCAAAAGCCCCCTGCCACCCAGGCTGGCACTTAACACGGAGCAGTGTTCCCTGCGCTATACACAGGCCCTTGTTGGCTATTCACTCTAAACACAGCAGTGTGCACACGTCCCCCCAAACTCTGGGAACCTGCATTTTAACCACCCGCCTGGCATACTTCATAACTGTCCTATATGACTCTCACTCTAATCCTGTGCAGTAGCTATGGCACAGAGAATCATCTATGTTCCACAGATTTAATTCTCCCCTTCACCTTAGTGACATGCAAAGGTTAGTTAATAGAAGGCTTTGTAACTCCACTTCTAGCCATGAGATAGTAACTGGTACCAGACTTGCCTTCCTCTCAATAAACAATCGGAAAACTGGAAAAAATACAAGAAACAGCTGTTTTCACACACTGGACAAGAGGTAACACATAACTGAGATCCCCGATGAAAGGGAAATGAATGAAGCGGGCCCTGCAGTCACCCTGGCTTTGGCTTAGAGGTGCTTCCTGGGCACTGGTGCAGGGGAGGGAACGCCGAGTGGGGTACGGGGAGGTCTGGCTGAGTTGAGGAGACACAGGTCAAAGTTTAGGTGGCCGGGATTCGAGAAAGAACCTAAGTGTCCACAGATAGATGAATGGATAAGGAAGATATGGTGTGTGTGTATATATATACACACACACACACATATACAAGGTTTCCCTGGCGCTAGTAGTAAACAACCTGCCTGCCAATGCAGGAGACTTGAGAGACACAGGGTTCGATCCCTGGGTCAGGAAGATCCCCTGGAAGAGGAAATGACAAACCCATTCCAGTATTCTTGCCTGGAGAATCCCATGGACAGAAATGCCAGGCAGGCTACAGTCGAAGGGTCGCAGAGCCGGACATGACTGAAGCAACTTAGCACACAGCACACACACACCCGTACATATATACATACATGTATGTGCATATATGTGTGTGTATACATGTATGTGTGTATGCATATATGTGCATATATACATGTGTGCGCATGTGTATACATATACATGTGTGTATGTGTGTACATATGTGCATATATACATGTGTGTATGTGTATATATACACATGTATGTGTGTATATATATATGTACGTATCTATGTGTGCTGTGTGCTAAGTTGCTTCTATATATATATATACAGTGTAAATATATGTGGGGCTTCCCAGGTGGTGCTAGTGGTAAAGAACCCGTCTGCCAATGCAGGAGACGCAGCAGACCCAGGTTCAATCCCTGGGTCAGGAAGATTGCCTGGAGAAGGAAATGGCAACCCACTTCAGGATTCTTGCCTGGGAAATCCCACGGACAGAGGAGCTTGGTGGACTACAGTCCATGGAGTTGCAAAGTTTCAGGCACAACTGAAGCGACTTAGCACAGCATATATATACTCACAGACATATATATGTACACACACACACAAACACACACACACACAGAGTGGAATGTTGCTCAGCCATGAACAATAAAATCTTGCTGTTTGTGACAACATGGATGGGCCTGGAGGGTGTTAGGCTTAAGTGAAATAAATCAGACAGAGGACGACAAATACCATATGATCTCACTTATGTGTGGAATCTAAAAAACAAAACAAACAGGAAACAAAAACAGGCTTATACACACAGAGAACAAACAGGTGGCTGCCAGAGCAGGGGGTGGGGTGAAATTGGGGAACAGGATTAAGAGCTACAAACTTCCAGCGATAAAGTAAATAAACCACTGGGAAGTTATATACAGCATAAGGAATATGGTCAATAAAATCGTAATAACTTGCATGGGGAGAGATCTATCATGAGATCATCAATGGATGCAAACGTCAAACCAACACACGGCACACCTGACACCAGCATAACACTGTACATCAACCACGCTTCAATTAAACCAAAGAAACAATGGCCACGATTATCTGAATCTGATGAAAACCATAAATCCACAGACTCAAGATGTTCAGGTAGGATAAACCCAAAGTATGCCCCAACAAGGCATATTGTGACCAAATTGCTGAAAATAACAGATAAGGGAAAATAAGTCTTAAAAGCAGGAGAAAAAGACAGTGCATACAGGGGAACAAAGATAAGGATGACCACCGACTTCTCAGCAGACAAAGCAAGCCAAAGGACAATGAACTGAGTATCTAAAAGACTAAAAGGAAAAACAGAGTCGTCAGCCCAGAATTCTTTATCGGGTGAAAAGTAAAGACATTTTCAGACGAACAAGAGAGAGAGAATTTGTTGCCAGAGGAACCACTCTACAAAAAAATAAAATGTTACACGAAGTGCTTCAGGCACAAGGAAAATGATACTAGATGGAAATTGAGCTCTACACAAAGGAACAGACTGAGGAAATGGTAAATATGTGAGTTAAAAAAGAGGCTTTGATCATTCAGGTCCTAAAGATAACCTCCCCTCTAGTAGGTTTCCTGCAAAAGGTACACACAAACTTTATCTCTTCTCGAGTTTTGAACACGGGCTTCAGCTGTGACATGGCTGCTGGCCACTGAAGTGCTATTTCTCCCTCATTTATAGCATCAGCCTTTAACCAACTAGGTGCCATGCACTAGAGATGCAAAGGTAAATAAGGCACAGTGTCCACTATCAAGGAGCTCAGAGCCTGGTGAGAAGAACAACTGAGCCAATAGAGAGTTAAAAAGCATGAGGGTCACTTAGCCCTGTGACCACAAGCAACTCAATCTCTCTGTACTTTAGTTTCCTCAAATATAAAAGGGGGACAATAACAGTACTACCTCGTAGGGCTGCTCTGAAAATGAAATGCTTTAGCATCTATAAATTGGGAGAACAGTGCCTGAGACATAATAAAGAGCTAGTAAGTACCAGCTACTATTGCTGTTTGCCCTCCTAGGCAAACAATGGCGGTTTGCCCAGGAGGTTGTGGGCGCATGGAGAAACAACACCCGAGTCAGAGGGGGGGGTGGGATGGAAAGGGAAGACAGTTCAGAGGAGGTGATGCTTCTGGCTGAGAGCTGAAGGACGAGGAGGATTAATGGATGAGGAAGTGGGGAGGGACCCCAGGCAGGGGCGGCAGCACTCGGCCAGGCACAGAGATGCAACCGACAGGCTAGGACGAGGCCACAGGGATGTGTCCAGTAAAGCCTGCAGCAAGTGACACCTTGCTGTAGCCCAGGAGATGCTCTGGGATGTCTCTGGAAGCCCTTCTGACTTCCTCCACGGGCATCTTACCTCCTCCGTCATCTGATCTATCCAGGCTCTGCTGTCTGAGGCGGCGGCTGCCCCCCAAAAAGAAGGAAAAGAAAGGAGGAAGTGAGTTTCAAACACAGGAAGGAACAACCTATTACATTTTGACTGCTTCCATTCCTTTTCCTAGGTGAAAACGTCTCTGGACCCACCTTCCTCCAGCAGCCCGATCAGAGCTGCTTCCTCAGGCGGTCAGTGCATGGTGCACAATCTGTACCATCCCATCAGCAGCATCACACCAACTGCAAAGGGATGCTCCTCCCACCCCATAGGTGTAAGCCCGGTGGCCCTACCTACACACTCCGTCTTCCCCTAGAAACCTGCCTTCTTTCTCTTTGATATGTCTGGGGAGGAGGCTAGGATTAGAAGGCTGGTGTTACTTCTGCCCATCTGCATCGATAAAGCAGAACTGTTGACACCTGAATGTACCATCTAAGAACCAGAGGGTGGGAGACAGGATGTCGGTGTCAACGCCAGCGTCCAGCCCTTCAGCTGCAGAGGCAGCATTCACCGAGCCCTGGACTAGCGCTCCGGTCTCCTGCCTGAGCCCCGCCCGCTCCCCATTGTCTGTTTTCAGATGCTGCATTCAAGAAAGGCTGAACTGATGAGGACCGCACAGACCGCATGGCTGACTAGGGTCACACAGGATGCCATAAGAATACTGGAAACATACTCTTCTATTTCTTTAGAAGCCCTCCTTCTTGACCTGAAAAAGAGAGAGAGACAAAGTTTATGAGAACCTGCTAGCCTCTGCACTGCTGTGGCACGCTGGCAGGGTGTTTCAATAGTGGGGTACAATGAGAATAACTCAAGTGATCTATTTGTCTGAATTCCTCTTTATAGACCAAGGCCCACAACCAATGAGAGACAATGACGGCAATGCCTTCTTATGTCCTTTTTTCAGCATGTCTCCCCTTTAAGTTGTTGAGCTCAAGTGCTTAAATTGAAGGAGAAGCTTAAAACTCAAAAGCGGTGTGGATGATACCATGCCTTCTTTTTCTTTCAACAATGAACTGATCAATTTACAGGAGCACACTCTTAGGACTGAGGCCGTGGGTCTCATTTGGAGCTGTTGTGCTAACACATGTAGCTCCCCGTGAGCAGAAGGGGATGAACCAGCCGTGCAGTTCAAGCCTGACTTCTTGCCTCCCCCACGGGAAGGACCACAAGGCCCTGTGAGTGATGGTGGCCTGCTCACATGCTCATGTGAGGCCCGGGTTCCAACCTGAACGTGTGTCAGAATCATCTGGGAAGCTTGTCAGACATGCGGATTGCTGGGCCCAGCAGTGAGAGATTTCTGGATCAGCTGTCTAGGGGAGGGGGAATACATCTTAACTTTAACGGTCGTCGGCCTTTAGCCAGTCTTGCTTAGAAGACTTAAGACCACCATTTCTCAGAGGCTCAGTAGTGACCTGCTTGGATCAGAATTCCTGGGAACTTGAGTGTGCATTACACGGAGATTACTTTTCTGTGTGTGTGACGATCTCTGTCATAACAGAGTATTTGTTTTTTTTTATGAATTCTTTTGAGTCAGAGATCAATCACCATGATCAGTGAGGGCACAGGGTGACGGCGATGCCATAATAGCTGGGAGGCAGGATGCCTGAGAAGTCCCTCCCCAGGAAAAGCGACCTCAGAACCAACCGGCACCTTCTGCAAAAATGCAAATAATTCTCCCCAAGAGGGGAACGGGAAAGTAAACCCTGGGACCACTGCCTCTGACTGTTGTGGTGAAGTTGAACACTATAAACCCGCTGTCCGAAGGACCCGGTCCTCTGTCACCAGCAGCAGGAGGGCTGGGATGGAAACTGGGATCAGAGGGGAGGAACAGGCTACAGGAGGGTGGTCGCCCAGGCCAGCGCCTTCCCACTCTACAGAAGGGGCAGTGCCGTCTCTGGTTACCCTCAGGAGTCTTAACAGAATCATTCCTTCCGAAGCCCTGTGCCGGGGGAAGCAGCAGCAGTGACTCAGTTGGAAGGAAACCATAACGATAAGGCTACTCTTCGGGGGAAGGCTGATTAATTGCCATTTATTCACTCATCATCTGAATCGGTGTAATTGCTGCTGAGCCCATGTCCTGCTCCGTCCCACTCTCGGGGTAGCCCAGGATCTTCGAGCATCTCGTTGCATCCCGTAGGGAAGGAGTTGGAACTAGAGACCACGGCCCCCAGGGATGGAGGGTGGGGATGTCCTCAGGTGGCATTCTGTCTCTCCATCTCTCCTGCCAGAAATAGGTTCTGGGTGAGCTTTCTGTTTGGGAGATGGAAAGCCTAGTGGGAACCTGGGTGGGGCCCCAGAGAAACGGCGTGAAACCCTGCCTGTAGAACAGGGGGCCACTTTCAGACTGTACCGAGCTTCAGGTAAGTTTGGGCCACGCCACAACACTGCTGATTTTGAGTTGGTTTCATTTTGTTTTGGTTTTAACATGAATTTGGTGTCCAAATTGGTATATTTTGTACAAAAAAAAAAAAAATCTGGATTTCTGAATTCTTCAAATACGAACCCTGGCAATACTGCACTCACATTCCCTTAAGGAAAACTCGGGGAAGCTGGGCTGTGCTCAACCCTCTCCCCACTGGGAGCCTGAGCTCCGCCCTCTTAGAACTGGGGGGTCCCTACTAGCTGAGGCTGGGAAAGATTGAAGGCAGGAGGAGAAGGGGACGACAGAAGATGAGATGGTTGGATGGCATCACTAACTCCACGGACATGAGTCTGAGTAAACTCCAGGAGTTGGTGATGGACAGGGAGGCCTGGTGTGCTGCAGTCCGTGGGGTCGCAAAGAGTCGGACACAACTGAACTAGGTGTTCATCACTGAACCTGCAGTGCCAGTTTTCCAACAGAAGTGAAGGAGCAAGTGAAGTATTTCCTACAGCTGCTATGCAGTTACCAAAAGTGAGAAAGCAAAAGGCAGTGGGATGCATGCTTCAGGAAAACAGGCAGAGGGTTCCTTTCTTTACAGAACTGTGACTATGCAAATAACTTCTGTACCTCAGTGATAAAATTTAAGGTGCTATTCTGAAATAATCCCCACTTCACAGATTTACTATACCTGCCCAGTCGGTCCCCAGAGGCACCTCAGGCCAGGCAGTGACGCTGAATCCAGCACAAGGATTTTCAAGCCACAGGTTGTAACCCATTAGTGAGCCGTGAAACCCATTTAGAGGATCACCACCAGCCTTTCTTTTTTAATCTTTCTTTTTTTTCAATAGCAAAGAATAGTGAAGAGAGTGTATTGCAAATCATAAAGATAAATATCACATAAGTTTTTTTTAGGTTTATATATATAGATATACCCTGTCATGATGTAGAGTGCATTTTTAAAATTGCTGGTGACAGGTTAAAAAAAAAAATGAAAACATGGTGTTCTATCACTGCCCAGTAGGTAACCGGAGAAGGAAGGACGTAGGGCTGCAGTCTTGTCTTTCCCAGGCTGTGTGGGTGGGTGGAGGCTGACGGAGGGGACAGAGGTTCTGGGTCATCTCTTCCTCGCAGACACATTTCCGGGGACACAGTGTGAGCCGGTCCAACCCTGAGGCGGGAGGACTGCAGAGCGGCGGCCAGCTCCGCCCTGGGTTTCTGGTCACTCATCGCCTTTGTAGCTTCCCCAGAAGTGCTGTGAGACGGTTTGGGAACCTGGAAACTATCATACTGGTGAGCCCACTGTGTAGAGACCCAGCACGCTCTGGGATCGTCAGGGACTCTCCCGTCTATCAGCATCAGTTCTGGACATGAGGCAGCCGCAGGCTCCAGGAGCACCATGTCACACAGACTGGGACTGTGGGTGCCGCGCCGTGTGCTTCTGTCCATGTCACAGAGCTGGTGGGCAGTGAGGCTGAAATGAGACTCCCCATCTCCCACCTGCCACCCTAGATTCCAAATGCGCTGCCCCGAGCCCTTGCAAAAGCAGGTTACCCGCTGATTCTTAGCTGTCCCCGGGGCTCCCCAAGCGATGCTTGGATTTACTGGGCTCACATGTTTTGCATACTTACAGGAGAAAACAGACAGCTCATTGAAAGCTTGAGAAAACCCTTTACACGAGGAGTTCTTAACCAGTGGACCACAAGAGAATCACCCCTGGGAAGCTTTTGCAGTGACGCCTAGCACGTCACCCCAGGCCCCTGAGGGAGTAATTTCTAGAAAAGGAACCCAGTCATGGACGTGAGAATCACTGCCTGAAACCTTATGTCAGAGAGCAGGCTGAACTTGCTAGCTGCTAAGCAGCAGGAGGTAAGCCTTTTTGCCTCGTCCTTCCGAGTCGCCTGCTTTCTCCTCTGTGTGTTAGTCGCTCAGTCGTGTCCAACTCTTTGTGGCCCCATGGACTGTAGCCCACCAGACTCCTCTATCCATGGAATTCTCCAGGCAAGAATCCTGGAGTGGATAGCCATTCCCTTCTTCAGGGGATCTTCCCAACCCAGGGATCGAACGTGGGTCTCCTGCACTGCGGGCAGATTCTCTACCACCTGAGCCACCAGGGAAGCCCTTCCTCCCAACACAAGTGACAGGCTGAGGGGAAGAAGGAGATGGCCTCACGGACTAAAGGTTCCATTCCCAAGTGACCCTGGACTGGCTTTCCCAAGACTCAGCTGGGATTCCCTGTGTTCAAAAGCTCAGCAGGTGCCCTCCACCCGGGGAGGCCCAGAAGCAATTCAGATCCGATTAGAGATGCTTGTTCAATATTCAAAATGTAAAACACAGAGGTTGCTGAACCAGCACTTTGAAAAGTTAATTAAATGCCAGGTTTCTTTTTAAGAGCTACTCCATCACTTGCTGATTGCTTTGGCCATTTTGCAGAATGGGGCTTTAACTCCGGACAACGAGAGCACATGTTCTCCCTCACCTCCCACCTTGGGGAGACAGGGTGACGGGAATAAGGGCACCCTGGTCTCCTGCTCTGCAGAGAGTGACGGCTGGACCGGGTCGGTAACTTGCCAAGAACGGAAACCATGGCCCTGTGTGGAGATTTTCAAGTCACTAACATCGCTCAGCTTCACATGAAGCTGTCTGCTCTTTAAACACTGCTCCCCAGGTGGAGACTTGAAGGTTAGGGCATTGTCTGGTTTTCCCTATTTTACTTTGTTTATTTTAAAATTATTTTTATTTGTTTTTATCTTTTGGCTGTGCCACACAGCATGTGGGATCTTAGTTCCCTGACTAGGGATCGAACCTGTGTCCCCTGCATTGGAAGAGAGGAGTCTTAACCACTGGACCAACAGAAAAGTCCCCTGGTTTTCCCCTACTTTTAAAGCCCAGCCCTTCAGCTCCACACTCAATCGGTCCCCTCCTGGTGTTCACCTCTGCTTCTCCACCATTCACACTAGGTGTTTCCTCCTCAGCTCCACACATTCACCCTCAATTCTCAGGGAAAAGACCCTTCCCAGGCCCTCGCCCCCACAGACCTGTAAGGCTGATGACTGATGATAGCATCAATTAACATTTATAGAGCTTGCTGGGTGCTAGGCACTCTTATTTATATATCAGTGTTATATAACACTATATAAGCATTACACATTTACATATTACCTTATTTATTTATCACATTATCTTCTTTAATATGCTCCCTTTTATAGATGAGGAGCCTGGAGCTCAGAGAAGTAAAGTTAATTTCACTAAAGTCACCCAGCTGGAAAGTGATTGGGCCAGAATGCAAATTCCAGTTCTTAACTCCTATGTGATACAGGCATGCAGGCAGCTCTACTGACCAGGAG